TGTATATATATATATATATATAATCCATAAAATTCCATAAAATGAAAAAATTCAAAATTGATTTTTTACCTCTTTCTGGTAATTTATTTTTTTCCACTAGCCCATCAAGATCCACCGAATCATGTAAATCATCCTCATTATCTTCAATACGACCCGGGTAGGAATTTACTATGGCTATTAAGACACAGAGAAACGTCAATAGAGCAATTATTTTCATTTTGACTAACAATATGCTCTACAAACCAAATGATACTGTTGTGTCTTCGCTATATCTTCAATTTATACCAATATGCAAATACTTTTTATCGGGTACGCCTAATTAACTTCAAGTTTTTTCCGCATATTTTTAAATTTGAAGTGTTTGAATATGCAAACATTCCTTTTCGGGTACTGTTCGAAGGCTTAATTAGCTTAATTCATTTATCTGCATATTTTCATATTTGAAATGTTTGATGATACTCCGAAACTCATTAAGCAAACTAAAGCCCAAAATGCTTTCAACATTCTTTTGAAAATTTGTTTTTAGAAACGGCAAAGAATCAATTGCAAGGTTCTTGTAGGTTTCCTTGAGGTGTACGGAATGACCGACAGGAATGGAGGCATATAAACCACCATTATGAAGCAGAACTCCTCTGAGACGTCTTTTTGAAGTATCTAAGAAAATACGCCACTGTGCTGGGTCATATGAGATATTGAATGTACAGTAGAATCCGGATATAACGACCTTCAAGGGACCGGATATACTGTGTCGTACTAACCGGACGACGCACAAAACGGATCAATTTTGTAGTAGTAAAGTGTAAATTAGTTCATTAGTCTTTCATTTAGCTGTTCGGATTGCTGATCGATCGGTGAATAAAACATTCTATAGGAATCACATATGCTTCATTTTAATAGTTCTTAAATATCCTAATGTACAAACATATGTACTGCAATACAAAGAGATGAAATACACATTCATTGCACGAAAAAACTGTGTTACTAACGTAGAAAGTCTGTTATTTGAGTTTGTTTTCGACAAACTTTTGTTCGGTAGTAAGAATTCTGAATTCGCGACATCATTGTTTTCATAACATTTTCATCCAAGTTAGTCTGAACAAACACATTGAGCGTTTCTGATTTTGGCCGTGAAGTTTGTGTTAAAGGTGTACTTCGGTGTCATGTGGTCCGTCCACATATTCAATATGTGCTCCTCCACTTGTTCCGAAATTTCTGTTCGGTCCGATCTTTTGTAGTTCGGTGAGTTTTCCTTTTGAATTGGCCTATCCTGGCCTACTCCATTATCACAAAGTGTAAAGGAGGTAGATTCAGATTTTTTGATGGCGATCGCCTGCTTCATCTTTGGCCACCAGACAAGAGATGCGTATGTTATCATGGGCTTAACCACCCACTCACTTTGGACCTAACATAACCTACTTAACAGTTTATGGATTATCGTTATCTTCAGTGTCAAGGAAGATAAATTCTTTTAATGAAATTATAAAACAACGATAAAAATAAAAAGATCAATGGAAATGTAGGGTGTCTCCAGAGGCTCCAATAGATTCAATACATCGCCAGAACACTACTCTCGTCAAACTTAAACCAGTCTGTTTCGTCTTTGACTAAGGCGCAATAATGACCAAATTCAACGCCAGAACCACAGTGAACAATGACTGCATGAATATTATAATAGTGATCTGCTAGATTTAAGTGTTCATCTATTTCGAACCTCCGTAAGAGTTTGGTGCTTACGTCAGAGGTTGATTCATGTTTGAAGATCATCATTGTATCAAATTGACTGGTGCCTCAGCTATACTTGTTTCCTCATAACAGTCAGTTAGTTCGGCAATACAGTCGATCGTCAACTGTTGAAAATTCCATTTTCAGATGATTTAACAATAAGCTTTGCACAGACTGGTTATCAGTCACATTAGGGAACGCTAGATGGAGTTCTAGAAATTCACATAAGTTGTCGGTACTTCTTGAACATTCACTACAAAGTAAACAAGTGAGGTTTTTTCCAGCAAAAGATTCACGAACACAAGACGAGATGGACTGTACTGAATCATTCAATCCGGAGCGGTCAGGAGAATTGATTTTGCTATTGTTTTGCTCACGAAGAGTATTCAACAAGAACCCCAAGAATTCGGAGCAATTCTCTTATTGTACTAACGCGTATCTAGTGGACTTCAAAGACTCCAGGAAATCGGTTGGAGGAAAAGATGATACATTTTCACGAAACTGCACCTGCATGAACAGGTGTTTGAGTTTGATGAATAAGTAGGAAACATTCCCGTTCTCGTTCATCATCAAAACCTCGTTCTTGAAATTCATCGTCATGAACAACACTTGTAAAATGCTATTCATGTAGCAAGTGTTTTCTGAATTATCCAATCCAATTTTTTTCTCTACACTTTCAGGTCAACTCTCTACTGATTCGTAAGGAAGAACATGTTTCACAGAATCTCCATAAGAACCATTTCTCAAGCTGCGATCAATCCTTCCAAGTGAGAAGGGTTTCGTAGAGGGATCGATTTGGCTCTTGCTTCATGTATCTCTTTCACTGACAAGGAACCAGAACTAAGAGGACTGCAACTCATATTTAGGGGGCAAGTATGACCTAAGTCCATATATCTCTGCTTGTTTCGAAGAGATTTAGAGCAATACATGATCTCATCAAAATTATGTGAAGGAGAAATAGTAACAAGGACCGAAGCAGTATTGCCACGTTGAATAGCAATACTAATTGTTTCTATTAAAAAAGAGGTAGAACGGTGATCTTTCGTTGCTTGGCCTATTCTCCTTCCGAGATCATGAACGAATAACAGAGACTCCGGGCCGTGAACACCAAAAGTTTCAACCGCTAGTGGATGGAACAAATAGTTGTTACCAAGATTTTGGTATTTTTTTCATTTCAAATTTTCGCCAGACAATGCTGCAGTTCCAGCACACTTCGAGCTTCCGGCTAGATGGGAAGTGGCGACCGTGTCAACGCAAGTGAATTCCCATACCACAGGTTCACCAAGCGTACATTGGGATAAAACTACGGAAAATTAATTTTTATTTTTTCACGGTTGTAACGCCTAAGCCATAGCTGTGACAAGAGTAATATTTTCGTTTTTTATCTTCCTCTTGAAGATGATCACTTGGTGATCGAAACACGTGTCGAGGTGTTAAAATAGCGGTTTAGTATTGGGAAAAATTCCAGTGATTTTCATTACTACACCAGAGGTTCCAAACAGTGCATCACAAGTAATTTATAGTTGTTATAAACAGTTATGATTCATTCCATGACAGAATTTCAATAAATTCCATACAAGAATGAGAAAGTAATGGAACAGATTCAGATTCAGATTTATTCATCTTCAAAAACATTCACATCACAATTTCAATACAATATTACCTTTTCAAAGCAGAAATAGTCACCTAAGCGCAGTATGGCTTGTTTTGTGCTCTATTCCTACTTCGTCATGGTATACATATTAGTTTTTATATTATAAGTTTTCCGACAGATCACAACAATACATTTGTGTTAGTATTTAAACAATTGATGATTAGTGTCTACAGGTTGACATATATTATTGGAGATTAGATATTTCGTTAGTAGTAATTAGTTTCGAAAAACTGAAGGAAAGACAAGTATTTACATGTTTTGCAATAAGTATATCACTAAGAAACTATTTGTTTCAATAAATTTCTTAACGAGCATTTTGTAATTTCTAAAAATTCGTGTTTGCTTTATATCTAGATGTATTGCATTATATAGCTTGGGTCCAAAGTAAAAAAGTGTTCTTTGGGTATGGCTTTTTCTGAATAGAGGTATATTAATATTTTGATTCTCAACATTTCTTGTGTTTTTTGTCTTATTGATGCTGAACGAAGACAGGTTGGAATACATCCAGATGAGACAGTGATAGGCATATAAACTTCTGATATTCAATAATTTGGTATCATTGTACAACTGCTTTGTATCGAATCGTCTATGTTTCTTGAATATTATTTTAATAATTGTATTTTGAGTGACTTGTACGTTGCCCAATATATTAGTAAACATTCCGCCCCATGCTGCTATGCAGTATCTTATGATTGATTCTGCTAGAGATTTATATATCAGCATCAGATTTGATCTTGACAGAATATCTCTCAGGCTATATATTTTGTGAGTAAGTTGTCTAAGTCTTTTCACAACAAATGAAGCATGTACATCCCATCTCAGATGCTGATCCAAGAATAAACCGAGATATTTGAATTGGGATACTTTTTCTATGGTTGGACATTTACAGAGTACTTTGTCACAATTTGACACGTGGATGCTTAGTTTCTGATTATCTGGCTGATTAGTGCTTATAAGAGAAAAAGTCATAAACTTTGTTTTCGATATGTTTAAACTAAGAAGATTATCGCTTAACCAGGTTTGTAAACTATTCAAACCTTCTTCTGTATCTCTGTAAACATCTTTCCATGTTTTGCCTCTATACACTATGGCTGTATCATCAGCATATGATATGAGACGACCTTTGAAATTAGTAATATCAGCAATATTATTTATATATATCAAAAAGAGTATAGGGCCCAAAACCGTTCCCTGTGGAACTCCCATTGAAACATCACGATTCACACTCTTTTCTTTACCCACTTTCACACATTGAGTTCTGTGGAACAAATAATTCTTCAGAACATCAAAGGTTCACGAATACCATAGTCATATAGTTTATCAAGAAGCTTATTATGTGAAACTGTATCAAAGGCTTTGGCCAAGTCCAAGAATACCGCTAAACATCTCTCCGAATTTTCCAAGGCCTTTGTTGTTTCTTTGAAGAAATCTAATATTGCTGATACAGTGCTACTCTTATTGATGAAGCCAAATTGTCTATCAGTTATAACTTTATTTCTCTCAAAAAATTCAACCAGTCGATTTTTTAAAATATGCTCAAATATTTTGGCAATATCACGGATATTGGTCGATAGTTACCTAACTCTGTTTTATCTCCAGATTTAAAAACGGGGCTCACTATGGATTCTTTCATTTGTGTTGGTACTGTGCCTCCCTCAAATATCAAGTTGATTATATGAACTAATGGTTTTAATAAGTAGCGATAGTATTGCTTTATGAATTGTGTTTTTAGTCCGTCCGGTCAGGAGCACAATTGTTTTTCAATTTAGAGATAACTGTTGTGATTTCATTTTCGTTTGTTGGTGTAAGGTAAATTGTTGGGCCAACAGATTTGTCTTTCAGAAAACCCGGTGGTGGAGTTCATGTTTTATCGATTTTTTCAGACATTTTTAAAACAATATTCGTAAAATATTCATTAAAAGCTTCTGATTTGTCCCTGGAATTTGTTAGTAATTTGTCATTTTTTTTTATCACCTATTTTTTTTGTTTACTTACTTCATTAATTATTTCCCATGTTCTCTCATAGTTACCAGTGTTTTCAGTTAGCTTACTTTTATAAAATTCATTTTTAGTTAGTCTTATTAACTTATTCAATTCGTTTCGGTACTGCTTAAATTCGTTTTTCAAGACGTGGCTGGAATTTTTGTTCAATTTTGATTTGAGTGTGTCCCTATGTTTTATGGATTTTATTAACCCCTGTGTGATCCAGGGTTTTATTTTATATGATTTTTTCATACTCGTTTTGATTTTAGAAGTGCAGTTGTTTATGTGTTCTTTCAATTTGTTTATAAAATTATCATAGGATAGCTGGACTACATGGCTATTCAAAACTTCAGACCAGTTTTCATTATTCAGAAGGTTTTTCAGTTTTTTATTATCAGTGTTGTTCCAAAATTCTGGGTCGCTGGGCGACTCAACTTTTTGGTTAGTATCATGAGTGTTTGTTGACATTGTTAAGGTTGTAGAAAAGTGATCGGTTATGTTTGTTTTAATAACGGCGGGAAATACTTTTATGTTTTCAGCTATTTTCTGTTTTCTAAGAAATATATGGTCTATAATTGTTGTAGAATCGTCTGTAATTCGCGTGGGTTCATTGATGTACGAAATATAGCCATTTTCTGTTAGTATGTTCATGTAGTAATTTACGTCATTATTATTTTCATCAAGGAGGTTAATGTTGATATCTCCTAAAAAAATTTCTATATTTTGCTTGTACAAGTCTGAAAAATAATCTGTTAAATCATTTAAATATGTGCGAATATTGGTCGAGGGTGGTCGGTAAGAAGACGAAGAAACAGAAGGAGTCTCTCACTGGAAGGTAAAAACAGTTACATGAATGTTCTTATGGAAATTATGAAAAATTGTTCATCATAATTATTATGCGAGACTGATTATATGTGATCAAATTTTTCAGCTGTTAAACATACATTTGCTACTAAAATCATTCAAAAATACTAACAGTAAATATTTTCTAAAAAAATCAATGATTTTCTGATGCTTTTTGCAGATTCGATATACATGTGATGTTTTTTCAGCTAACTTGACTACAATTTGATGGAATGGTGCGGCTCCGGATTTATTGCAACTGAAGATGATGAGTTTAGTTCTTTCCGGATCGACAGTTGGGGGTTTCTGGCAAAACCAGTCATTTTTGAGGAAAAAATCTTTTTCCACCATGTTTTTTAATTCGTCCCAAGTATCCGCCTCATAGAATATTTTAGTATCATCGGCGTATCTAATTACTCTGCACTGTTCAGTTCAAAAACATCGTTGACATAAAGGTTGAAAAGAACTCGTCATCACCTATTTTCACTACTTGTTTTCTTTTTTCTGAAGTTTCTTCAAACATTAACTTTTTTTTATTTACCAATTTCAACAGCGAATCTGTCATCCATGGTTCATTTTTTGTGTTTTTTCTGAGTACTTTTTTGTGTCTGTATTTGTTTCAAAAGTATTTTTTTTTCCTGTAATTTAATGTTTTTATGGAAATGGCTATTTCGAGAATAAGATCAAACTGTTTGATCTTCATCTTGAAGATGATTTTTTGGTGATTGAAACATGTGTCGAAGTGTTGAAATAACGATTTGGTGTTGGGAAAAAACTCCAGTAATATTCATTACTACACCAAAGTTTCTAAACAGTGCATCACAAGTAATTTATAGTTGTTATGAACAGTTATGATTCATTCCATGGCAGAATTTCAATAAATTCCATACAAGAATGATATAGTAATGAAACAGAAGGAGTCTCTCACTGGAAAGTGAATACTGTTACATGAATGTTCTTATAAAAGTTATAAGAAATTTTTCATCGCTATTATTATGCGAGACTGATTATTTATGAACAAATTTTTCAGCTGTTAAACATACATTTGCTACTAAAATCATTCAAAAATACTAACAGTAAATATTTTTTTAAAAAATCAATGATTTTTTGATTTAAAAACGCAGTCAATAATATTTCACAAAATTATCAGATCCACAGTTTTGTTCATGTATAGAAACGAGGAACAAAATCTTCTTCCTAAATAGAATAGAACTGATGTCATACATTGTTCAACTCATCGTTTCCATCAAACCTTTCTGAAGGATTACTACAAAGCAAATAATAGAAAAAATACATGAAATAAACCTTTACTCAAAAAAAATATGATTACACATACAGAACATAAAAATTATATTTTGAATACATTCACAATGAATGTATCTCTTCGAATATGCAACCTTTCTGTTATTCGCAGACGCATCTAGGTAAGACACAGCGTTCTAATGGTTTTCCTCTCTTTGCGCAATATTTTCTGCAGATATAAGTTTCACAAATACTTCTAACAACTGAAAAGTAAAAAAAAACACTGCTTTTGAATAGTGCTACACATTCGGTTGATGAGTGATTCGAATAATTTAACAATTTGAATCATATAATAATAATAATGATAATGAACATCTATATCATTACAACCACAAATAAAATCACAATATTGAGTTCTAACTACATATATGTATAAAATTATAGTGAAAGGTGAAGTTCAATTTTCGCAGCCATGCCTATAACTGCTAAACTGTTCTTCCACTTAACCTATGAGCTTATACGTGTTGAGAATCACACATTAGTACCTCGTTAGTTCACAGCTCGTACAAGTTTCGAATTTTGAAAAAAAATTTCTACCTACTTATTAACTGAAGCTTTCACCTAAGTTTGAGTATGAACTGAATTTGAACATGATAAACTGAAATAAAATGAAATGAACATGTGATAAACATAAATTACCTGAGTTCAACTATTCACCAAGCAATCAATTCTATTCGGTCATTCTCAAATGTATCATTTCCATGCATTTCAAAAAAAAAGAGCTTAAAACGTTTCTCTTCCGAGTCATCACTAAACTAATGCTTTTCTACCGAAAGATGGTTTGCAAATGTTCTATGTTCTTTTATTCTACGGAGAAAGTTTCTTTTCGTTTGGCCAATATACATTTTCAGGCAAAAACACAAGTTAACCCATACACTCCTAACAGTTCATCTTTATTGTTTATGGGGAATTTGTTATTATTTGTCATTTATTTCGAGCTGTAAGTCGCGTGCCAATCATGCTGTTGGTGGGTTCACCAAAGTATGTCAATATACCATGAATCCTACCATCGTTTCTTAAATTGGGACAGACCTAGTAAATGGCTTATTTTTGAAGTTTTTGAAAAGAATTGAGTCGAGTTCACCTTGTTCTACATATCGAGTGGTCCAACGAAAAGTATGCACCTTGCTTTTCTTATTTTTTGTAACTTAACGCAAAAATGCTCGGACAGGTCAATTTTGCTTCTGAGAAGGACACATTTTAGATGTATTTTTCTACCTGTACCTTCAACCCCCTAAAATTTTAAATGGAAAGTGGGGTCGAGTTATATATCATTTGAAAGGGCACAAAATTCTCTTTCCAATGATACCTAATTTGTTGTATTCATTTGAATATTTATAAAAAAAGCAAGAACATTCACTCGATATTTTTGGTGTTAATGAAAATGCGGAAAAAACGGCATTTTCATCACTACTACATTCCTCAATTTCTCTCGTGCGTTTTTTGGTTCAAATAACAACAGCAGATAAGTGTACAAAAATAATTTAGGCAAACGTTCATTGATTCAGTTCGGTTGCTTTTGAAATTATTTCAACTTTACTGTAAAAATGGTTTATTCCATTCCTGAAGGAATTGAAATTGTTGAACTTTATTATCAACATAATAGTTGTGCTAGACTTACTGCTCGCCTCTTTAATAACAGTCATCCTGGGAAAAATGTGAATGATTCGTACGTTGCCAAGTTAGTCCAAAAGTTTGTCGGTACCGGATTTGTCTGTAATGTGAAACACCAGCCACGGAAACCGATCAGAAATGAAGCAGTGGAAGTCGCTGTTTTGGGACATGTTGAATTGGATCATACTCAAAGTACCCGTCAGCTTGCTGCAGCCTCAAGTGTCTCCCGTTCGTCCATAATACGGATATTAAAAGCCTATAAATTTCATCCGTACAAAATGAAATTAGTACAGGAACTCAATGAAGATGATCCTGATAGAAGGCTGCAATTTTGTGAACAACTGAGCCAGCTACTAATTGATGATCCGCACCTACCATTCAACACGTGCTTTTCCGTTGAGAGTACATTTTTTTTTAAATGGAGCTGTGAATAGGCATAATTGCCGTTACTGGGATGACAGTAACCCACACTTATTCCGAGAAGTCCATACCCAGTACCCTCAAATCAATATCTGGTGTGGCATATTAGGTAGTCATATCGAAGGGCCACTTTTTATTCCTGGGAATTTAACTGGTGAGGTCTTCCTGAACATGCTCGAAGATACAATTGATCCTCTCTTAACAGAAATAATTGAAAATGACCAAAATCATAATGATGATCGGCTTCATTTCCAGCAAGATGGAGCACCTCCTCACTATGTTGCTCCGGTAAGAGAGTTTTTAGATGACCGGTTTCCTGGACGGTGGATTGGAAGGAGAGGCCCCATCGAATGGTCTGCCAGGTCACCTGATTTATCGCCTTTAGACTTTTTCCTTTGGGGACACTTGAAAAATAAATGTTTTGCTTCGCAGCCCGAGTCCATAGAAGATCTTCGCCAACGAATTACAGCAGAGTGCAGAAGTATATCACCTGATATGCTACAGAATGTAAGGAATAGATTTGAACAAAATCTGTATTATTGTATGGAAGCAAATGGTTCACATTTTCAGCACTTGCTGAAGTAGGATTCTACTGAGTCAATTACACATTTCAAAGTACTGGGTTGTAGTTGTTTTTCTTCATAATACCTACATGTTCAAGTGAAATATAACAAATTAGGTATCACTCGAAAGATAATTTTGTGCCTTCTCAAATGATATATCACTCGACCCCACTTTCAATTTGAAATTTTAGGGTTGTTACTCACTCTCGCTAGGGGGTTGAAGGCACAGGTAGAGAAATACATCTAAAATGTGTCCCCCTTAAAAGCAAAATTGACCTGTCCGAGCATTTTTGCGCTAAGTTACAAAAGGAGAAAAGCAAGGTGCATACTTTTCGTTGGACCACTCTGTATATGAAAATTACTTTGTGACAGTGAATCAGCCAATATTTTGTGAAGCAGACTATTGAAGGCTCTTATTTCATGCTGATATGGATGTGTAGAAGAATTATCTATGACATTGTCGTGCTCATTATTTCGTATTCAAAAAATAGAATTAAATGTGTAAATCCACGTCAAAATGTGTTTTTTGAATACTCCATAATAGATTTCCTTCCAGTTTCGGCCAGTTCTATCATATGCTTGTGATTTTGCATTATCTTTCAATTTTTCATTTTCTAATCTGACGCTCCTTTTTTACTACATAAAGTTGCATTATGAATAATAAACTATGGGAAATTAGAGATATTCAATTCCCACATGTGACATTTGATATTGAAGTTAGAAGATTTATGCTAAGAATCGCACTTGGAAAGACAAGACCCAGTTAATTTGTAGTTCACTCAAGCTTAGACTTTTGAGGGTTGTCATTTATAGGCGGTGACAGATGGTTAATTAGCAAACAGGTTTCATAATATTTTTTCACAGATATCATTGATACAGTAACACGCTATTAGATTTTTCAAGTTGATGGAATGTCGATTTGATAATAATGTCTCGATCAACTCAGACATTTTTGCCAAATAGCAATCTAGTACAGCATTTGAATTTAACAAAATTAATGGGCAATAACGAATATTTTGATTCCATAAAATAAAAAAAGTCAAAACTGAATTTTTACCTCTCTCTGGTGATTTTCTTTCTTCCACCAGCCCATCAAGATCTACCGAATCATCTTCATTGTCTTCGATACGAACCGGATAGGAATTTGCTATGGCTATTAAGACACAAAAAATTGTTAAAAGGGCAATTATTTTCATTTTGACTAACAATATGGTCTACAAACCAAATGATACTGTTGGGTCTTCGCTATGTCTTCAATTTATACCAATATGCAAAAACTTTATCGGGTACGCCTAGAAGGCTTCAATAACTTCGAGTTTTTGTCGCATATTTTCATATTTGAAGTGTTTGAATATGCAAACATTTCTTATCGGGTACGGTTGGAAAGCTTCATTAGCTTCATTTATTTCTCTGCATATTTTCATATTTGAAATGTTTGATTATACTTCCAAACTCATTAGGCACACCAAAGCCTAAAATGCCTTCAACATTCTTTTGGAGATTTGATTTTGGCAAGGGTTTTTCATTCCCTGAAAGTTTTTTATGAACTTTTTGCAGGCAATTCCCCTTTCTCTTTGAGGATCCGTCATGGTTGTGATAAATTGTGGATCAGCCATAAGCTGTCTAATATTTGGTCCAACGAAAACATTTTCCTTCAACTTTGCCCTTGAGAGGCCTAGAAACTTTGATATTGAGTTTTTGAAGCAATTTCAATCTCTTGGAAGGAAGTTTATAAAATGCATCATCAATCCCAGATTTATTTGATTTATTCAGAAATGCTCTGTGGGAATATATAATTTTCAAATCTGCATAACCCTGTTTCAGGATTTGCGAAATGTTGCGTTTTGAAATGAATACTGTTGTCAAGATATAGGCCCAAGTTTTTTGTATCTCCTTTCAAGGGAAGTTCTGTTCCATCTATTACAATATGAATGGGGCCAGAAAAACGATTTCTTGTCACTGTTCTTCCAAAGAGCATGTAAGAGCGTGTAATTGAATGTTTTTATGAAAATAGCAATGAAAATAGTTGTTTTCCTTACGGCTCTCTCTTTCAGTTTGTGTTTGAAAGTTACTTTTTTTGGAGTTAACGTTTGAAATTGTTTACTTACTTCTATTCTTTGCACGATTCTCATATTTTTTGTATCGAAATGGAGAAGTCGAAAACGAAAACCTTTTTTTCCCAGTAATACATGATATTTGGAGGTATCCAGGGTTATGAACAGTTATAATTCATCCCATGGCAGAATTTTAATAAACTTCATTCCATACAGGAATGAGAAACTGACGAAATAGAATGAGTCTCTCACTGGAAAGTAAAGACAGTTACATGAATGTTCTAATGAATTTCATGACTATTATTATGCGAGACTGATTAATCATATGATTTTACCAGGTGGTAAATATACATTTGCTACGAAAATCGGTCAGAAATAATAACAATACATATTTTCTAATAACAGTAATGATTTTCTATTTCGAAAAACGCAATCGATAGTATTTCACAAAATTATCAGATCCATAGTTTTGTTCATGTATAGAAACTGGAAATACAATCTTCTGCCAAAATAGTATAGAATACTTTGTTCCACTCATCGTTTTCATGAAACCTTCGCCAAGGATTACTACAGAGCAAATAATAGAAAAAAAAACTTGAAATGAAGCTTTACTCAAGAAAAAATATGATTACACAAAAAGAACATGAAAATTATGTTTTAAGTACATTCAACAATGAATGAATCTCTTCGGATATTCAACGTTTGTGTTTATCGCAGATGCATTTATCTGCGTGACAGCGTCCAGTGACTTTATATGTATTTCTGCATCTTGCTTTGCAGAAATGATTCCAACAAACACCTCTTACACCTGAAATGAGAAAAAAACCTTGCTTCTGAATAGTGTCAAACATTCGGTTGATGAGTGATTCATGTAATTTAACAATTTGAATCATATGAGCTTCAATGTGTTATGAATCACACGTTAGAATGTAAGACCTCGTTAGTCCTCAGCCCGTACAAGTTTTGACTTTTGTAATTTTCATTTCTACCTACTTAATCACTGATGCTTTCACTTAAGTTTGAGTATGAACTAATTAAAAATTTGAAAATTTCACCATTTCAACTCACTGAAATGGACATGTGATAAACTGACATTATCTGAGTTCAACTATTCACCAATTTCCTCATCGGTCAAAAAATCGATGAAGGGGAAGCATTCAATTCTATTCGGTCATTCTCAAATGTATTATTTCCATGCATTCCAAAAAAATTGAGCTTCAAACCTTTCTATTCTGAATGTAATACGTCACAGTCATCGCTAAACTAATGCTCTTCTACCGAAATATGGTTTGCGAATGTTCTATGTTCTTTCATTCTTCGGAGAAAGGTTCTTTTCGTGTGTCCAATATAAATTTCCGGAGAAAAACCATAAGCCAACCCATACACTCCTGATGGTTCGTCTTTATTGTTTATGATGAATTTGTTATGATTTGTCACTTATTCTGTTCTTCACAACGCGTGCCTATTATACTGTTTCAAAAAACGAAAGATATTGTTGGTGTGTTCACCAATGTATGTTAATGTCCCATGACGCCTACCTACTTCTTTTTGGAGGTTTTGTAAAGAATTGAGTCGATTATGTCCATCTTGTTTTCTCTGAAAGTTACTTTGTGACAGTGGCATATTCAATATTTTATGATGCAGATTATTGAAGGCTGCTATTTCATGCTGATATGGATGTATGTATGTATGTATGTATGTATGTATGTATGTATGACATGCTTATTATTTCTTATTCAAAAAACAGAATTTAATGTGTTAATATCATATTTAAGTGTGTTTTTCTGTATACTTATAATAGGGTAGAAGGTATCCCCAATATCGTAATATACTGCGCCTTAGACTATCCCCAAAACCTCTTATTGGCTCCCCTAACACTGCCTATAGTTGCATTATGAATATTAGACTATAGAGAACTGGAGATATTTAATTACCACATATGACATTCGGTATTGAAAGTAGAAGGTTTATGCTAAGAATCGTTAATTCGTAGTTTCCCCAACTTCAGACTTTTGAGGGCTGTCGTTCATAGGGTGTGAAAGGAGGGTAATAAAAAAACAGATACTCAGTCAACGAATGCCTAAAATCTAGTATCTTCCCGGAACTATAGAAACAATCTTTTATTTTTTCTATAAATAAAATTTCTGAACCGTTGATACTAAATAATTTGTAGCCCATGAATATAGTACCGGCAATATAAAAAATTGTAGAAAATGCAGCCTACAGTCAGATATACTCTTATGTCTCTGATAACATCCTGCCCGAACACCAATCTGGTTTTCGTAAAAGTCACAGTACATCTAGTGCTCTGTTAAAAATGACCGACGGTATTTTGTCAGCCACCGATAATGAAATGGTCACCCTTTTTTATGCCTTGATTACAGTAAGGCTTTCCTACACAATCTGATGTGCTCTAAACTTGTTTTTTTTTTGTTTCAGTATGGAGTCATGTGACTTTATTAGTTCATTTTAAAAAGCAACGTGTTGTGATAAAGGGTAGTCAGTCTGATAAAATGATTGTATGACATGGAGCCCCGCAAGGTTCAATTCTCATAGCGCTACTCTTTATTATCTACACATCTGACTTCTCCAAGATTCTTAAGTTATTCAAAATTCATACATATGCAGATGACACTAACTTGTACTACCCCAATAAAGTAAATCAGTTTATTGATCACGAAACATCGCTTAACAATGTTGTGAAAAATCTTGTTCTGATTTCGCAGCAACACTGTCTAAACCACAATTCTAGTAAATCATCTTCAATAAGTTTTGGCAAAGCCAAAGATCGTGAAGGGGCCACAGATAATATGTATATTGATGGGCATTCTGTGGAATTGACTGACAAAATAAAATGCTTAGGACTTTATATAGACTTCAACATCAGATTTGTTCATCCAGTCAATTTTCACATTCAAAGGTCGTACGGTACTCTGAAACATCTGTATTCAAACAGACATTATCTCAGTAGGTCTCTCAAAATTACCCTTTTAGACGTACGGATTCTATCTAAGTTCAACTATTGCGATTTCGTCTATGGCCCTTGTATCGATTCCATAACCTCTGCAAGAATTCAGAAAGCACAGCTTTCCACCCCTTACACCCCATGGTTGTAAGGGGTGGAAAACGCAACCCCTAAAATGTATTTCCAATGTAACTTTTTGTCTTATCATTTGTTTACCATTTAAAAAATTATTTTCGATAGCATGTTTCATTCTAAACAAAAAATGTATCTTGGGTTTTTTGCCCAAACTAAACCAGTTCGCAGCAAAAAATTATTTCACGAACAACTACAGAGATACATCGTCATAAATGCGAACTGGATATATTGTTATTTTGTAGTTAGTACCTGCATTAAACGATATGTAGAAATCATAGTAAATGTTCAATATGTCTACCTTCAGACATTAAGCATGCGTCTAGACGTCGGCGCACTGAGCCACGTATTCGCTCAAATATTCCTGGAGTCTCTCTGATTACCCTGCACGCATCGATGATGCGGTTTCTTAAATCCTCTACATCGCGACAGGAGTACTATAAAACAAATGCTGTAAATGGCCACAAATAGAGAAATCGATAAGATTGAGATCAGGGGATCGAGCGAGCCAGTTCTGTGGTCCTCCTCGACCTATTCACTGATTTGCATATGTTTCAGTTGAATGATGACGTGCTACTTGACTAAAATGGGCTGAAACATATCCCTTCTGACGCCCAAAGGAACTTCTTCCAGCGGTACTGGAGGCACTTCTCTTAAAAATTTAACGTATGCCTCACCATTCAATCGAGGAGGTAGAAATTAAGGCCCAATTAAATCATCCCCAATAACTCCGATCCACACGTTAACAGAAAGCTTGATGGTTAGTTTTGACAATAGCGTGGGGGTTTTCATCAGCCCATATGTGGTAATTATGAAAATAATTACAACATATGTTAGAAGGGCAATTATTTTCATTTTGACTAACAATATGGTCTACAAACCAAATGATGTTTGGTCCTCGCTGAATCTTCAATTTATACCAGTATGCGAAAAGTTTTCATCGGGTACGCCTGAAAGGATTCATTAACTTCAAGGTTTTTCCACATATTTTCATATTTGAAGTGTTTGCATATGCTAAAAATTTTCACCTGGTTCATTTAGAATGCTTCATTTATTTCTCTGCATATTTTCATATTTGAAATGTTTGATGATATTTCGAAACTCATTAGGCAAAGTAAAACATAAAATGCTTTCAATATTTTTTTGAACATTTGTTTTAAGTGAGGGTTTTTTATAGCCTGAAACTTTCCTCATCACCTTTTTGCAGGCAATTCACTCTTACTTTGAGGATTTGTCATGGCTGTGATGGCACACAGCTCCTCGCCAAGTATTTATAAGAATAGCTAGTCAGCACTCCACGCTTTTTTTAACAAAACTGATTTTTTTGTAAATATATCTGTTCTGATCTCAGACTTATTCAAAATCATCAGTTACATCGAACCATTGAACGATGTGGAACACAATTTAGAATCAGTTTGGAATTATTTTTCAGTTTGTGTTGCTATTAGAGCGTGTTTTTTTTGTTTTTCTATATCTATTTTCCACTTTTTATTTTGGGTCGCTATTTCAAGCCTATTTTTTTAATACAAAATGTATGCGCTTGCGCAGACAGTGTGGTGGTTTTACTTGCTCTAACACAGAGACTGTGTGGGGAAAATATTTAATACTGGCGATCCTGATCAGGATAATGAGATAAACTTATGAAATTATTGTATTTCCACCGATTTTTGATAAGTGTACAAAGTTTAAAATACATCTGTCCGTTTGAAGTTAGTCAAACAATTATACAAGTGAAGCTAACAATAGCGTGTTAAATACGCCACTTTGCTGGGTCATATGAGATATTGAATGAATCCATCAAACCTTCAATATTGGTACAATAAACCAACTTGTCCTCTTGGGTAAAGTAGAGCACAGGGCATAGGGTGTTCTTTATTTAAAAAGTAATGGTAGCCTGACCTGTAAACATTTGAAAACAGTAGTAAAAATAAAATTGTACCTATTCATTTATGACCTCAAGTTCGCCAAAAAAATTCCTTTTTTATAATTCGCTTTCGTTTTTGCAAAATAACCGGAGTTTTGAAATTTCTTGAGTATTTTTTAGTTCTCAGGACACCTAAATATATATTGATTGATGGGGTATATTACTATTAATAATAAAGAAATCGTCTTTCACATCATTTCTTCGCCCTTCCATTACACAAAAACTTCATGCAGCACTGATGCTTCTTCTAGGTTAATGATTGAACATTCCCAGAAATATTTCCATCATTTTTCCATTTATGTCGTGTGTACTACCCTTCATGAAGTTGTTTCTAGTTCAGAAGAGTGGAGAAAAAGTTAGGATGGTCTTGTTATTCCACCAGTTTTTCGTAGGAAAGCATTAGTTAAATGAACTTAGGAAAAAAAACATTAGGAATACTCCCTGAGAACGTTTTTCCAAATGAATTCAATCTACAGCGATTCAAATTCAATGTGAATCACTACTTTCGCATAGGCACCGCTCCTAAAGCGCTCTAAGGATATTCGTGAAGTGTTTGTGTTTTGTCTTTAAAAACCAATGGGCTCAGTCGTTAGTCCACTTTTAGCAGACATATTTATGAACAACTTGGAGACCACTATAGTAAATTCTGACCTGGGTAAGAAACATATTTATTTTTGGTACAGATATGTAGACGATATTCTCGCCTGTTTCAGAGGTACTACACGACAGCTGAACCAATTTATGACATTCATGTCAATGGCAACATCTATTTCACACTCGAAACAGATATAGAGAAACAGATAAATTTCTTAGACCTGACTATGACACACAATCAGAATAAATTTGAGTTCAATGTTTTCTGAAACCTTAGCTATACAGACATCACCATCCCAAGCGATTCTTTTCATGCAGACAGTCATAAATTAGCAACCTACAATTCAATGTTAAACAGAGCATTCTCATTGCATTTGCCTGCTAACAATCTAGCTAGGGAAATGTATATAATTACACAGATAGGTCATAATAATGGTTTCAACGCAGATACTATCCAGAAGTTAGTTAGTTAGGAAACAAAGCCGGAAATTCACTTACAGATTAATATACCCTCAGGTCAATCAACCAGAACTCAAGAAATGGGTAACTCTAACATATTTTGGAAAAAAAAAACAGAGATAATTGCGGGTTTCATCAGAAACAACAATGTGGAAGTGGAATTCAGATAGCAGTCAGAGGCAGAAAGATTGTAAAACTCTTTTACTGTTCAAGCTTTCGAGGCGTTTATTGTCTCTTCATCGGGAACTCTACAATAATTATTGACTAAACAAAGGATATGGACAACGTGTTCATACTTACGCAAGTGAGGTTAAAATGAAGTTAACAAATAAGTAACAAAGAGTATCCTCATATTTGTATGTCAAGATTAAAATTGGTTATAAACATATAACATTCCGTGAAAATTTTGCGATAATATGAGATGATTGCACAGATAATATGAAATTATGAATTGAAAATTGAACTCAACAGGTTGTCGAACATGATTGAACATAAAACATTGAGTTCGACAGAATGTGTTTGACAGAATTTCTTGTTCTGACCAATGCATTGCTTCCAATGAGAGTTCACAGAACTGTAAAATGATAAATCACAGAGAGTGAAGGTGAGGAATTCCTGTTATGAAATTATTAGTTGTTGTCAAATTTATTTTATTCATTTAAACAAAGGAGATAGGAGACAGGCTGAGACTTTCAATTCAATTAATAGTATTTGAATTTTTAATTTTCGAATACTATCAATTCAGGCTGAGACTTTCAATATCTCTCCTGGAATTAATAGTATTTGAATTTTTAAATTTCCAGCCTTTGCAATTCCAGCGACATGACTGTGCCAAAATATTTTGGTGTTCATTTTAACCCCTAACAAAATTAAATCATCTAGAGGAACAATTCGTTCAGGCCAGTCTCAACACCCTACACAGTAGGTTAATGGACTGACACCTATCAGAAAACAACTACTCCCCTGGCTAATACCACGAAGGGCGTTGGATTATATCCGACAGGTGTCAGTGCAGGATTCTTCACTGAAGTTATTCCTGCATATGCTGTTGGCGATA